TTTGCATTTCTATACATCTATAATGAAGCAACAGGAAGAGAAATCAAGAAATCAATCCAATTTACAATTGCACTGAGAACCATAAAATACCTAGGAATAAACCTAACCAAAGATGTGAAAGATATTATGCTGAAAACTATAGAAAACTTACGAAGGAAATTGAAGAAGGCACAAAGAAACGGAAAAACATTCCCTGCTCATGGACTGGAAGAACAAATATTGTTAAAATATCAATATTACCCAAAGCAATCTACACATTCAATGCAATCCCAATTGAAATTGCACTGGCATTCATCTCAAAGCTAGAACAAACAATCCTAAAATTTGTATGGAACCACACAAGACCCTGAGTAGCCAAAGTAATGTTGAAAAAGAAAACCAAAGAGGGAGGCATCACAATCCTGGACTTTAGCTTCTACTACAAAGCTATAATCTTTGAGACAGTATGGTATTGGCACAAAAACAGACACACAAAACACTGGAACAGAATAGAGGACCCAGAACTAGACCCACAAATGCATGGCCAGCTAATCTTTGACAAAGCAGGGAAGAGTATAACATGGAAATAGACAGTCTCTTTAGCAAATGATGCTGGGAGAACTGGACAGCAACATGCAGAAGAATGAAACTAGACTACTTCTTTACACCATTCACAATAACAAACTCAAAATGGATGAGGGACCTGAATGTGAGACAGGAAACCATCAAACCCCTAGAGGAGAAAGCAGGAAAAAACCTCTCTGATCTCAGCCACAGAAATTTCTTACTTGACACATCTCCAAAGGCAAGGGAATTAAAAACAAAAATGAACTACTGGGACCTCATCAAGATAAAAATCTTCTACACTGCAAAGAAAACAATCAACAAAACTAAAAGGCAACTGACAGAATGGGAGAAGATATTTGCAAATGACATATCATATAAAAAGTTAATATGCAAAATCTATAAAGAATTTAACAAACTCAATCTCTGAAAAGCAAATAATCCAGTGAAGAAATGGGCAGAAGACATGAATAGACACTTTTCCAAAGAAGATATCTAGGTGGCCAGCAGACATATGAAAAGATGCTCAACATCACTCGTCATCAGGGAAACACAAATCAAAGCCACACTGAGATACTACCTCACACCAGTCAGAGTGGCTAAAATTAACAACTCAGGAAACAACAGATGTTGGTAAGGATATGGAGAAATGGGAACCCTCTTGCACTGCTGGTGGGAATGCAAATTGGTGCAGCCACTCTGGAAAACAGTGTGGAGGTTCCTCAAAAAATTAGAAATAGAACTTCGCTATGACTGAGCAATAATAGCACTACTAGGAATTTATCCAAAGCATACAGGAGTGTTGATTCATAGGGGCACATGTACCCCAATGTTTATAGCAGTGCTTTCAACAATAGCCAAATTATGTAAAGAGCCAAAGTGTTCATCAACTGACGAATGGATAAAGAAGATGTGGTTTATATATACAATGGAATACTACTTGGCAATAAGAAAGAAAAATCCAGCCATTTGCAACAATGTGGATGGAACTGGAGGGTGTTATGCTAAGTGAAATCAGTCAGTCAGTGAAAGACAAATATCATATGTTTTCACTTATATGTACAACTTGAGAAACTTAAAAGAAGACCATGGAGGAAGGGAAGGGGAAAAAATAGTTTCAAACAGAGAGGGAGGCAAACCATAAGAGATTCATAAATACAGAGAACAGGGGTGCCTGGGTGGTGCAGTTGGTTAAGCGTCCGACTTCAGCCAGGTCACGATCTCGCGGTCCGTGAGTTCGAGCCCCGCGTCAGGCTCTGGGCTGATGGCTCAGAGCCTGGAGCCTGTTTCTGATTCTGTGTCTCCCTCTCTCTCTGCCCCTCCCCCATTCATGCTCTGTCTCTCTCTGTCCCAAAAATAAAAATAAAATGTTGAAAAAAAAATTTATAAATACAGAGAACAAACCAAGAGAGTCATGGGGGAGGCGGGGGAGAGGGGAAAATGGGTGATGGCCACTGAGAAGGGCACTTGTTGGGATGAGCACTGGGTTTGTATACAAGTGATGAATCCTGGGAATCTACCCCTAAAACCAAGAGCACACTGTATACACTGTACATTAGCTAACTTGATGAGAAATTATATAAAAAAATAAAAATAAATCAATAAAAATATGGTGCAAGGTCTTAAGGACCAGAAATATATATTTTTAAGTTTATTTATCTATTTTGAGAGTGAGAGAGCACGAGCAGGGGAGGAGCAGAGAGAGAGAGGGGGAGAGAGAGAGAGAGAGAAAGAAGAGCCTAACACGTCTTGAACTCACCAACCATGAGATCGTGAACTGAGCCAAAATCAAGGGCCAGACAGTTAACTGACTGACCCACCCAGGTGCCCCTTAAACTCCAAATATTTTGAAGCTGACACTAATGCAAGATTATGAGGCCAAGGAGGCAAGAAATACATGAGTTCAGTCATATTCATGTCCATTTTGCATATTTTTGTTCTGTGATTTGCATTTTGTTATTCTGTACTTCTACTAGGAATGAAAGCTTGATGTTATTAAGGTTTTTTGCTTCCATTATAGGTTTAATAGCATCTATCATCTAGCAATACTCAGTAATGAGGGATCTGAACGAATCACCTAGATTATATTGAACTTTCCCCTTGTAGCTTCTTTTCAAAAATGCAATTGTTTTATAAAAATATTTTTCAAATACAGGTTCATCATTAAATTTTAATAATGGTTTAAAACTTTTACATGCTACTAACTTTCCAACCTCTGTAAAGAGAGTGTAATATTTTCTTTACGCCAAAGATCCCATCCCAGATTCTTCATTAATGGGGAGGTATGGTTTAGGCATCAAAGGTTCTAAAAGCTCCTCAGCTAATTATAATATGCACCAAGTTCGAGAACCACTGCTCTAAACCCTTAACACTCTGTGAAAGGTCTAGCAGCATCAGCATCTGCTTTACCTGGAAGTTTATCAGAAAAACAGAAGCTGGACTTCTTCCACATTACCAGGAACTCTGATTTAACCCATCCAGAATTCTTTTTCTATGAAAATAAGGGATGAGAACTCTTCCATCCTTTCTAACTCTAAAATTCACATTGTATCATCTAAGCTAGATATTGAGAGGCAGTTTTAAACTTAACTAGAATTCTTAACCCATAAAAGGGAAGGACCATACCATCCTCTCCAATCTCACAATTCTTATTCCACAAACCTAAAGAAACACAACGCGGAAGGAACTTGTTAAAACTGTGTCATAATCCCATCCTCATACCTTTCCATGCACTTTCTTAAGCCTAGAATTTTTCTGTTACCTTTCTCTTTTCTCATTGGAACACATTATTCAAGACCCATGTAAAATCCTACCTCCTTTATGAAGCACGTCCTGAAAAATAATGCAGCTTTTGTCTAAAATTCTATTGTTGATGTAATCAATTCCATAGAGTTTAGTACATTGTTTCTATTATGACTTACAAATTCTCTTATTTTCCCAATTAAATGATGAGCGTCTTAAGTGAGAAATCATGTTATGTTTCTTTTCTAACCTAACTTCAGGTCTAACCTTTGTGAGTTATATATTGTTCAAATGTATGTGGAAATATTAAAGTAAGTTTTCACCACTCTCACAAGATTACTTATTCAAAACTAGTGCATTATCACCCCTTCCGCATAATGCAAACTCATAATGTAAACATCTTACAGGTTCTTGCACATGGAGGTAAAACACAACTGGCCGTGCCTTAAGACTTCTATTCTTTTCTTCCTGCTTCCCTGAGGCTTGCCAGCCTGATGAAAAAATTGCCTCAAACAGCACAGAAAGTACAGAAAAAGCCTCTGCTAAATAGTCCTAAAGTATACCTGCACTAGACCTCTCATATTCTTTAGCTCCATGCCTGTCTTATGCATCATTACATCCCTATCATAGTGTTTGGCACATACTGGGCATATAAGCGAATTATAAACAGCGTGTCAACAAACTATGTAGGAGCAGGCAATTTTGAAAATATACTGCTGAGTTCATGATAAAATGTAGAAGTATGATTTTTCTCATAGTAGCTCCTTTATATACTTTTCTCAATATGTATATGTATATTTCTTCTTATGACACAAATAATACAGTCATTGTAGAAAACACAGATAAAGAAAGTAAAATGAAAAAAAAAAAAAAGATGTACTACCTGAAATTGCACAACTAAACATAACTATTGTTAACAGGTGCCTGTCTGTCCAGACCATCTCTCTCTCTCTCTCTCTCTCTCTCCATATACATATAATATACATATATAAACATACATACTACTGTTTTAAATTATTTTTTAATGTTTATTTATTTTTGAGAGAGAGGCAAGTGCGACCAGGGAAGAGGCAGAGAGAGAGGGGACACAGAATCTGAAGTAGGCTCCAGGCTCTGAGCTGTCAGCATGGAGCCCGACATGGGGCTTGAACCCACCAACCCTGAGATCATGACCTGAGCCAATGCTTAACCTACTTAGCCACCCAGTTGCCCCAAACATATGTACTATTTTAAGCAGCAAATCATACTCTATCTACTGCTATGTACCCTGCTTTTATTCAATTAAGTATATATCAAAGCGTCATTCCAGCCAGCAAATCAATTCATAATAAAAGTTGTTTATGATGGTTGCATTAATGGATGTGCCAAAATTTATTTAATCAATTACCAATGTTTGGAAGATTAAGTTATTTTTACCTTTGGTAATTACAAATAATGCTGATGAATAATCTCCATTACCAATTATCTAAACATTTCCTTAGAATAAAAATCAGGAAGTAGGTTCGCTGATTTTAAAAATTATGCACATTTTTAGGGCTTGAGATAAAAAAAAGTAAAAATTTACCAAATGGACCCTTAGAAGTTTGTTATAAATGTGCTCTCTCGCCAGGGGATAGTAATTGGCTAAAGTCAACAGTGCAGCTACCTATATTCTTAGAGATAATATTTAAATAGTTGCACAGAGTAAATAATTGATGCAGTTGGAAAATACTCACATTCTTTTTGAGGGTCGATGTTAGGTTGGAACGACTGAAATTCATAATATGGTATTTCATGCTTGAATACGGATGTGAGAATATCATCAAGTTCGTCAATGTCTTTCTGTTTTCAAATGAAAAGGAGAATTTTTCTTAGTTAAATTATTTACACACAAACTCATCTTAGTGCAACATCATAAAAAGTATTAGCTAGAGTAAATACTGGTTAATCTTTCTAATGATACTGATAACCCCTTTTGAAAGAATAATACAAAACATTAGAGATTTGCCTAAAAGTCAGTTATTAAAATAGTAGAAAAATAGATTGGCTTTGTGTCTGCATGAATATCTTTACTTAAATACTTACTAATTAAAAAAAAAAAGTACTATTGCAGATCAATGGCAACACTGAAATTTGTTTCAAAAATAAACTTCTGTTAAAATACATATTACATTTTAACAAATGAAATAATAAAATGATGAGTCTCGTTCTTCAACTTAAAGGTCAGATATTCCACTTCCCCAAACTGAGCATTTGGGGATGAGCTGTGTAGAATCCTACTACTGAGGACAAACCTATTACAGAGGCCACCTTTCTTCTAAAACTGTGTTTTGTGAAGCTACAGTTGGGACCAAGTGGATGTGAGACATAGGTAACTGTATCTGAAGACATGTACCAATCAACAAGGCCATGGAGCGGAGAGAGGATTGTAAAACAAACGTTCATACTTTTGATATGACTTCCAAATAAAATTAGACTTATTGCCAATACATAGTCACAGAAATTAAATGACTAGATTGAGAAAAAAAGACATTTTTATTACTCTATATCTTTATTTTTCAATAAATCTAGGTGCCTTAAATAATAAAGTGTTTCAGCCTTCTCTGGATTTTTTAAAAGTCCTCCTTAGAAGTGGGGAGAAAGGGTGAAGTCTTCTCAACTTACAGCTACAGAATGTTAGGTAAAACCAATATGAATATAGTTAATGCTATGGACTATGTGAAACCATTAGCTGTGGGCCATTTTTTTTTTTTTTTTTTTTTTTTTTTTTTTTTTTTTTTTTTTTTTTTTTGTAAAGGAAGGGGAGATTTGACAACAAGCTTTGCTTTCAAGAAAGTCATAGTCATCCAATTATACATGGGCAGTGAACTGAATTCTAGGTACTATGATAGAAAGTCTTTCTGGGTCAAGTACAGTGTAGGCAAAAGGGAGGCGGCTCAATCCCACACAGGATGAAATGGTCAGAAAAGGCTTTATAGAGGAGATGAGCTACGCTGAGATTGCCATGCACAGAAAGAGCATTCTAGACTAAAGCAACAAATTGCATATAGTCATGGAGGTATCATAAAGCATGATCTGGTTCATGATTTTAGGAGTTTCCACAAGACTGCAGAAGGAGAGAGAAGGAAGTAGACATTTCAAAAAAAGTGGACATTTTTATATGTAATAAAAAGTTTGTAATTAATCCTGTAAGCAAGAAGGAGTTATTTAAGGCCTATAATACTTAACATGGAAATGTTTATTATGTGTATAAAATTAAGCTTATTTAAGTTTAAGGATGACTATGAATGCTTATGTGGCTGGATACTGATATTGAATGGAACCTATCCTATAAATATCAATGTGACAATTTTATATTAGTAATTACTCAGCCTTTTCAGGAAGCCTTTGATACGAGTGGTGGGGCAAAACGTTACTGGCAATAAATTTACACTTTCTTTATATTAAAGCTCAAAAAGAACATGTCTTAGCCTTAGGAACTGATGAAAGGGATTATGAAAATATTAAAATCATAAAATCAGTTTGTAAATTTTCTTTACAAATTGTGTCATTGGCCACGGATTCTCCACAGGCTATGATCTAGTCAGTGATACTTCTGTAGGAGGAGATAAACTTACTATTTCTTCCCTAAAGTATACAAGATTTAATATGGAAAGATTGGTGTGTCATTGAGTTACTATACTCATGTATAAGTTAGGCATACGATAACCTCTGAGATTCCTCCCAGCTCTGAGATTGTGAGACACAGATGAGAATTCAAAAGAGCAGGCGTTCCCAGTAGGAATCTGAGAAGTACCATTTCTTCCCCTAAGGCACTGTGACACTTTAATGTGAAAAAGGTTACAGCTTATACCACTGAATTTTAAAAAAAATGAAGTAGCAGTGTTTTTAAAATCAGAAGAAGAAAAAAACCCTCACCATGTAGACATGTATTTAACTAGGAGAGACTATAGACACCTTTCACATTCCAGCTTACCATAAATCGTTGAATCACTTCTATTTTCAAATTCATAATTATATTACTAGTATTATGCCCCCCCCAAACTAAATGGTATAGGGCATAAGAGAAACATGTGAAAATCACAGAAATGGCTATTAAAAATAATTACAAAAGGATTTCTCCTTGGATAGTATTCTAACTAGAAAAATCTGATACAAATAGTTATGCTTATTTTTAACTTTTAAGGACACAAATAGTCATCCTTTCTAATAAACACTGGCATTGAAATTTGAAAATTCCATAGATTTTCTTCTCCTTAAAATAAATTGTGCAACACAAAACATACTTAATGAAATTGATGCAATTGTTCAAATAGAGATTAAAATAGAGTAGCTTAATATTTATTCAGCAATATTCACAACATCCTAAAATTTTAGTTATTAATGAGTAATCTTATGTGAAAATAAGAGTAGAATAAAATGATAAAATCATGTTGATGCTAGTATTTGGCTATAGGAAAAATTACACATATAAGTAATATATATACATATGCATTTTTGCGTAGATCTACACCTATCAAGAATATTAGAAAAAGAAATCAGAAAAAACTAAGATATGAAATAGAAAGATATTACAAAATAATAAAAACTTTGTACATATGAAATTAATACATGACTTTTTCCAGAATTCTTTCAGTGTCCTCTGATGAAACACGGGATTGATTAATGTACTTTTAAAAAAATTATTAACATACATATTTATAAATCACAACTCTATCTGAATCTGAATCACTCAATATTATATATATCTGCATATATCTGAATCTGAATCACTCAATATTATATATATATGCATATATATGTGCGCATATTATACATATATGCATATGTATAATATGCATACATATACATATATAAAGTTATCTCTAATAAACAACTTTCTTATAAGTATTCCTTCCTAAAAGAGAAAAATATATAAAATATCTATTTTAAAAGATATTTAGAATTACAGAAATCCAAATCTGAGAAGATGGAGTAGTTGTATTTTCTCCTTTTCTTCTCCTTAAATACAACTAAAATGTCCACATTTCAATAGAAAATCAGTTGTTATACAAAGAACCAGAAAGGAGCGCCTGGGTGGCTCAGTCGGTTGAGTCTCTGACTTTGGCTCAGGTCATGGTCTCACGTTCATGGGTTCAGGCCCCACATTGGGTTCTGTGCTGACAGCTCAGAGCCTGGAGCCTGCTTTGGATTCTGTGTCTCCCTCTCTTTCTGTACCTCCCCTGCTTGAACTCTGTCTCTCAAAAAATAAAATAAAACATCAAAGAACCAGGAAGATCTCTAAGTGAATAAAAAGAGACAATAAATGCCAATACCAAGAGGACAAAGATTTTAGAATTATCTTAAAAAGAGTTTAAAACAGACATGAAAAAATGTTTCAACAAGCAATTACGGTAATTCTTGAAATAAATTAAAAGAAAAAAAAGCCTCAGTTGGGATGTGTAGGTGGTTCAGTCAGTTAGGTGTCCAACTCTTGATTTTGGCTCAGGTCTTGATCTCATGGTCCTGAAATCAAGCCCAGCATTGGGCTCTGCGATGAGTGCAGAGATCCTCTCTAGGCTTAAAATTCTCCCTCTCCCTCTGCCCCTCCTCATGTGCACACTTTCTCTCTCTCTCTCTCTCTCTCTCTCTCTCTCTCTCTCTCTTTCTCTCTCTCTCTCTCTCGAAGGAGAAGAAGAAGAAGAAAAAGAAGAAGGAGAAGGAGAAGAAGATAGGAGAAGGAGAAGGAGAAGGAGAAGGAGAAGGAGAAGAAAGCCTCAGCAAGAAAATACAAAGTTTCAGTAAAGAAATAGAAGGTATAAACAAGGATCAATTGGAATTTTTAGAACTGAGAAATACAACAATCCAAAAAGCTCAGTGAATGGGCTCAGCAGCAGAATGAAAAGGGCAAAGGAAAGAAACTTGGAAATAGGACAATGAAAAATACTCAATCTGAACAACAGAGACAAAATAGAGTGAAAACAAACAAACAAACAAAAGGTCAGGGACCTGTGAGATTATAACAAAAGGTTTAACATTGCTGTGATCTGAATCCCAGGAGGAGAGGAGAGAGAGGATGCGGATGAAAAAGTACACAAAGAAATAATGGCTGATAACTTCCTGGATTTAGCAAGAAACAAACACTACAGACTGAAGAAACTGAGCAAATCACAAACAGGTTAAAGCCAAAGAATTCCATGCCAAGAAACATCATAATTATATTTCTGAAAATTAAAGACAAAGAAAGAAAATTTTTTGGAAGAAGCTAAAGAGAAACAAAGCCTTACCCTATAGGGTAAAAACAATTAGAAACACGGTAGTAGTAGTAGTCTAAAAGAAGTGGCACAATATTTGTCAAAAGTTAAAAGAAAAGAACTATTTTTTTTTTAATTTTTTTTTCAACGTTTTTATTTATTTTTGGGACAGAGAGAGACAGAGCATGAACGGGGGAGGGGCAGAGAGAGAGGGAGACACAGAATCAGAAACAGGCTCCAGGCTCTGAGCCATCAGCCCAGAGCCCGACGCGGGGCTCGAACTCACGGACCGTGAGATCGTGACCTGGCTGAAGTCGGACGCTCAACCGACTGCGCCACCCAGGCGCCCCAAGAAAAGAACTATTAACAAAGAATCTTATGCCCAGCAAAAGCATCCTTTAGGAATGAGGTGAAAACCACGACATTCTCAAATGAAGGAAAAGAGGAAATTTATTGTCAGCAGATGCACCCTACAATAATGGAGAGAGGAAGCTCTCTAAAAGTAAGAATATGATAAAAGAAAGAATCTTGGAATATGAAGAAGGGAGAAAGAACATAGTAAGTAAAAAATATAAGTAAAGAAAATAGGCTTCCACTCCTAAAAAAAGA